TCAGCAGAACTAATCTAACACTTGGTTTCATCTTGAGAGTAATTTGGCTAGAAGTTGAACAAAGTCCTTCCACCCAAGAACAAAACAAAGCAGGGAAAGGAGAAAATGCTATTCTGTTCTGTCCAGATTCCACCTAAATCTTCTCCTCTCATAGCATCATAGAATCTTACAGCACAGAATGAGACCATTCAGCCCATCATACCTATGGCTGTACCTCTCATGGACATTACTTCTTGTACTCTGTCTCCTGGTTGTAGGAGGATGGGTTATGGTGGGGGTGGTTCAATGGAGGGACGAAGGCAACGGGTACTGTGCTGAGGAGACAGGAGGTCAGAGAGGTAGGGGGGTGCAGAGGAGTGCAGGGACTTGAATACGAGGGTGAAGATCTTGAAATCGATCCTCTCTGGGATAGGGAGCCAGTGCTGTCTGGCAAGGACTGGGGTGATCGGGGAGCAGAAAACCATCACCATGCTTAAAAATATCCATTTTGCAGCTGAGATGTTAAACCGAGGTCACGTTTATTTGTTCACCCAGACGTCACGGATTCCCATGGCACTATTTGAAAACGGCAGGAAAACTCTTTCGGTGTTCTGGCCAACAATTCCCAATGTAAAATTGGTCATTCATTAACATGCATGTGGCCCGCCTTCTCCGACCTCTTCTTTGCCTTGTTACCAACTCTATCTGAGCAATTGGCTGCCACGTTTCGCCCACAAAATATACAGTCAATTCACTTTACAGTATATTCTGTGATGCGCTTTGAGACGTCACAAAGACGTGATAAGGCGTTATATCAAATGTAAGAATTATTATTATTACAGAGTTCTGTGATATTACCTACATGAAGGGCGCTATATGAATGCAAGCTGTATTTTTATTGCTGTAATTAACTTTGTAAATGGGACATTGCTGTGTCAAATTGCCTGACACATTCGACTACAAAATACAAACTTTTCAGTAAATCCTGTGAAGCACTGAGACATTCCTATATCAAATACAAGGATTATTGTTATCAGGAGGGCCCTAGGCAAGCGAGGAGAGAATATTCAGTAAGGTTATTAGCAGGGATCCCTGCTTAAAAAGGCAGNAAAAAAGAACTTGTAATCTCAAAATTTTATTGCATCAAAATTGACAGGTTGTCAAGTACAGTGACTGTTCTTTTTGTAGTCAAACAAGGCAGCCACTTTGTGCCAGCAAGATCTCACCAACAGCAGAGAAGAGAATTCCATTATTGTCATATTGTGATCATTGTGCATTTCTTTCGCCTCTCCTCCCTCCCTCCCTGAACGATAACAAAGGTTTTTTTTTAAACTGAGATTACTTTCCACGAAGACCACGCACGTCCCTTTAAATCGTAACAGTTGCTCGGAGTGCCTGTGAACTGCTGCCAGCACCACGGTGCTGCAGGGTGGCAGCGAGGCAAGAACCACAGGCAAACCGATGACGGCTGCTTTTGCAAAGTGGCTCAGAGTCTTAACCCTCGTGCCAGCGACCACGCACGCAAAGCTGAGCTTCACCAAGCCCTCCTGATCAGATGGGTCAGAGAGGAACCTTGGCAAACAGCATTGCAACCATAGCAATTTAATACCAGTGTCAGAATGGGGAACAAGGAATAGGAAACTACTGAAACACATGGCCTTTGTTGAAATCTCTTAAAGGGGAATTGACCTCACCTCAGGGAATGTTTTGGGGAAATAAAGTACAAGCCTAGAACAGGAGGAAAAACCCTCCTTCGGAAAGCCCCACAGAGAGGGCCCTATCCTATTTGTCTGGGTATCTTCGTTCTGCAGTAAAACCTTTGGTCTCTCTCTCTCTGAATTCCAATTCATAATTTTCTTGGCGCAAAGTATGATTAGTGTGAGGATTCTATTAAGCCAGAGACTGTGTAAGTGTGTACTATTGACCACAAACTTGCTGAAGTTTTGCTACAACAATCAGGGCTGTACAATTCCCCTTTACTACAATGATATCAAGAAAACACTTTCATAAAATACCTTCATTTCAATCCCTGATAGGAGGGTGATGAGGCGGAAGGGTAGAGTAAGAGAGTTCCAGAATTAACCTGTTGGGAACCAGGGAGCCAGAGTAGTCTGGTGAAATCTAGGAAAATGGGTGATGTCAACAGTGTCAAATGCAGCAGAGGAAGACAAGGAGCTCATAGGGAACTTTGATCCCAGTGAGAGATTGTCAGTGGTGTCTTTGACGAGACTGTATCAGTGCTGTTAGCAGGGCAGATGCCAGACTGAAGGGATACTACAGCAGGGAAACACAGAAAGATGAGAGTGAAATTAAGTGGTAAGAATGCATTCCAGGACTTTGGATAGGAAAGACAGGTTACAGTTGGATCGGTAATTGGAGAGTTTGGAAGCATCGAGGGTAGTCNTTTTTTTGAGGAGGGGATGCTACTGTTGGTGGGTTTGAAGGGTAAACACTTCAAGAACTTGTTATACATGGAAAGGCCTGTATAAGTGCAAGTTATTGTTCTTAATCTGTGTGGCATCATTACATTTACAGGCTGAGTTGCACATAATTGTTTACCTTAAAGAATGCATACTGTTCTGTTTGTTATATTTACTTTGCTTCCTCTCTTCCTTCCTGCCGTCTAAATATTCCAACAGCACTTTTGGTCAACAGACTTAACTCGGTCTCTATTATAACTGTTAAATGCTTTAAGATTAAAAGCATCTGTTAAATGCTTTAAGTGCGTTCATCCTTAACATGAAGGTTGCGGGACAAACAGAAAAACAAAAGGTTTCTGCAACATACCATTTAACCCATCATGTCTGCTCATTCTAAAGCAGGCTAAACTGCTACCTCTGTTTGTTAAGGGTGTAGTTTGGGCTACCTTAAAAAGGGCTTATTATTAACCTCCACTTTCCAGCTCTTTCCCCATATCCCTTAATACAATAAACTCCTGATAACATGAGCCTGGCTTAACTTGCCATTGTGATGCAAGTCATCATGCTGTCAATATCCTGGCCACAGTTATTTATGTATTTACACATATGCCTAACTCGCCACTCCAGATAACTCATCACTCAGCCCTTTTCCCTTGGAGTGACGACTTACCAGGAGGTTACTGTACATCACTGAAACCTTCCAAAGTTTGCTATCACATTTAGTGACTGCTTTTATAGGCAAATACAGCAGTCAATTTGTGCACAGCAAGGTCCCACTCACGACATTACATGAATGCCTGATTAATCAGAAGGACTGATGGACAGGGCACATTAACATAGAAACACACATAGGAGGAAGTGAATGAAATAGGGGGCAGCGGTTAAATAAAAATATGCTGAATAGAACTGAGAGTTAATTTGAATACAGCGTTTCAATCCCTCCCAAACTCCAACTGGAACTTTCACTGCTTACTATTGGTGCTCTGAGTGAGGCTGCAGGAGACAGACTAGATAACATGGTAAACACATTGCTCTTTCAAGGACTGGATTTCACCCCTGGATTGCCTGGCTGCACAGTACAGGCACAGGTCAAGAGTGGATATTCTGTCGGTCAGTCACCTAGTTATAACACCAAATAAATGGACTTAAAGGAACAAAATCCACCTGGGTTTAGATTTACTCTACTTTCTTAGTATTTTAGAACATGCAGAATTTGGAAAAAATTGTTGAATTCAGTCTTTGGTTTGCAAACAATTTCCTGTAGCTCTTAATACACACACATATATATATATATATATTAAATCGGCCTCAAAATTAAGACTGTATTTAGGAATTTCATTAATTCTGGATGCTCTGAGATGCTAAGAAAATAAGAGTAATTCTAAACTCAGGTGGAATATCTATCTACACCTAATGGTGTCGAAGATGATCGACATTACAGTTAACCATTGGATTTAATCAGGAAAGGTCCAGCGATGTGAATGTCGATTTCAGTTTTATCTAGTTTTGAGGATGGGGTTGGTGGTGGAGGTTGGGGGGGTGGGGGGGGGGAGATATTTTAAGTTCCCTGACCTCCCTCTGGGAGAACAGGTTTACCCAGTTGGTGCAAGCGACTAATGCAATCGACTTCCTGAATTTTTCATGGAGACACTGTGATAAGTGTGTTTATTTTTCTTGGCCGGCCAGCAACGGTTCGGTTTACAACACGAACACTTATAATAATAATAATAATAATAATATAATATAATGACAACTTCCCAACAAACAGCATGTAGATGGACAACAGTATCCCCATCCCCTCCCCATACACACACACACCACTCCACACACACACACACCACCACTCCACACACACACACACACACACCACTCCACACACACACACACACACACACACTCCACACACACACACCACTCCACACACACACACACACCACCACATATACACACACACCACTCCACACACACACACACCACTCCACACACACACACACACACCCACCACCACCCCACACATTAGGACCAAAGGCAGTTGTGCTGCACCACTCAACTGTGGAGGTCCAGTTTGGGGGGGGAGAGAGGTTCAGGAAACTCTGTTGGTGTAAAAAGGACAGATCGGACGTGAAACATTTATTTTCTCCCTGAACTCAGCAGTGGCACAGCCTGGACTCTCCTCGCTTCGGTCTGCAGTTCTCTTGTCAGACTCTTTAAACGCTGGTTGGCATCACTTGTTATTTGTGGGGAAGTGAGGGAGGGAGAGAGGGAGGGGAGAGGGAGGGAGGGAGGGAGGGAGAGAGAGGAGGGAGGGAGGGAGGGAGGGAGAGGGAGAGAGGGAGGGAGAGGGAGAGAGGGAGGGAGGGAGAGAGGGAGAGAGAGGGAGAGAGGGAGGGAGGGAGAGAGGGAGGGAGAGAGAGGGAGGGAGGGAGGGAGAGGGAGGGAGGGCGTTGTTGTTGTGTATGCTAATCTGGAGCTGCTGCTTAAGAAGGCTGTGACTTCTCATTCCTCAGCTGAATGTGCTCTGGACTGCGATCTGAGGTGTAAAAAAAGACAGAAGAGAGAACGAGAAGGCACCGCTACACACACACACACACACCCCCATCCCAACCCATCCCAACCCACCCCCCAGGGCTGTGTTTGCAGCCACTGACCAGATCCAGATCCAGATCCAGATGCAGTGAGTGAGTGACCACTGCAGCAGTGCCCGTCACCAGGAGAGAAGGGAGAATGCACCTCTGATATAATGGACATAAAGGAATCGGGCAGTGTGGTCCTGACAGCTTATCATTCTTACACTCCCTCAAGACTGCCTATAATGGATCAAAGTTGTGTGGCAGAACTTCCAGCGCATCTTTCCTCTGGACGCAGGTAAAACCCAGTGTGCGCTCTGCTGCGCGTAACGTGAGACGGGTTCACTGACTGCGGGACAGTCAGTGTATGTCAGTTGTGTTGCACCACTGCATTCCCGACCGTGGCCATCGCTTATCTTTTGGTGCTGAGCCAAAAGAGTTGAGGTTTGCATTGGATTACTTCGCAATTTCAGGGTTCGTGTAACATTCTGTGGAACTGAGAAGCAGAACTTGTTGCAGTGGGAAAGAAAAACTGTCACCAGGTCTAATGCGCCTTAAAAAGAAATGCGGATTTGTTTTTAGATCCATAGGGTAGCTTTTTGTACACTCTTTTATACACTTTTATACACTCTGTATAAAGTACCAACGGGAGAAGTTAAGCCTTGGTTTAACTTCAAGCTTGATATTCTCATTTCACTCCTGGTATCGTTGCTTCAGTTTAAGAAGTGATCATAGAGTTGAATAGAGCAAAGACTATTCCTACTAATAGGGGGTGAGGACATGAGTTAAGTACTGTCATCGGTGGGGGTGGGGGGGAGGGAGTTTTTGCAAAAATTTTGTTTGGACCCAGAAAGTTATTAGAACATGAACTCCTTATCACAAGTTACTGATGAAACTGAATCTATAACAGCATTCAAAAGGGAATCGGATAAACACATGAAGCAAAGTATAATTAAATAATAATAACCCTTGCATTTGATATAGCGCTTTTCACGTCGGGAGGACGTCCCAAAGCGCTTCACAGAACACACTGTAAAGTGAATTGACTGTATATTTGTGGGCGAACGCGCACAGCAATGTCCCACAAACAGTCGTAGATTGAAAATGACCAATTTATTATTGTTTTTGGTTTTGGAGGAATTATTATTAGGCTCTGTGTGAAGTAAGGAAACTTGCCCAAGGTTTCGCCCTCTGCCTGGAATTGAACTCAGGTCTCTCACTTGCAAAGCGAGTGCTCTAACCACTGAGCTACAGGACTCCACAGTGACAGGATTCCACAGTTATGGGGAAAGAGCAGGGGATTGGGATTAGAGAACAGGGAGTCCTGTAGCTCAGTGGTTAGAGCACTGGTAGCGCGAAACATTGGGCAAGTTTCCTTACTTCACATGCTTCTGTTTACCTTGCAGTAAGTATGAACCCGATTGTTAGTCAATTGGCGGATCGCTTTTCCAGGGATAATAAATGCCCTAAAAAAGTTGGTCACACAATCCACTACTGTTTATGGGACACTCCTGTGCACAATTGGCTGCCACATTTCTCCCACAAAATATACAGCGGTGTATAGGTCAAGTGGTGTTAATTGACAGAGAGAGGGGAGATTATATAACAAAATAAATAAAAATAATTTGGTCACTCAATCTATGACTGTGTGTGGGACACTTCTGTGTGCAATTGGCTGCCGCGGTTTGCTCACAAAATGACAGTCAATTCACTTTACAGTATATTCTGTGAAGCGCTTTGAGACGTCTCGGAGACGTGATAAGATGCAAGTGCAAGGATTATTATTATTATGAGAGCCAGCACACAAAGATGGGCTCAATGGCCTCTTCTATTGCTGTAAAGGCTGTATGGGTGCTGACAGTTTAATTGCTCACAACATTTTGGCTTTGAAAAGTTTTTGATAAAGTGTTCGAAAGGTCAATATTGGAACAAATTTCCCTGCTCTCTCTCTTTTGCCCCAGTTGATCCCCTATTTTTACTCTTCCACCTTCTTTCATATTTTTCCTACCATCTCCCTTCTCTTTTTTCCAGCTTCTTTCTCTCTCCCACCTTCCTCCACCTTTCCTCTCCTCCCATCTCTTCTTTCTATCTGCACTATATAAGCTTTAAACTTCTACTTTGCTATTTCACCCTTACTTCAAACCAATCATTTCTCCCCTTTCTTTCTCTGTACCCTCTCTCTCTCTCTCCCCCTAGTTTTCCCCCTTTACCTTCCTGACAGCGCAGAATTTCTGTGATTTACTCACGTTAGAATTTCTTGAACTTTGTTCAACTTCTGGAAATTACTCTGTTTCTTTCTGCTCTATGGGTCTAAGATGTTTCCAAGGTGTTGTGCCCGGCAATGGAGTATCAACGCTGTTGCGGACAGACCAGCTAGCTTGGCTCATTGGCAGAACTCGGAGAGGCAGATGAGCCAAAAGGAAAGGGATTCTTCCCACTTCCAATCTTGTAAGCCAAAAAATGGTAGGGTAGTCCTAACCAGACACGCTGCTGGTATCTTGCAGGACAATGCTCTCAGTGACAAGCTATGCAGTTTTAACTGGTTAAACTCCAGCAATAACCAAAAGGGACTGGGGTTCCCAAGCTTAATTCCTTCCGAAGTTAGGCTAGCAGAGTACATCCCTCCGGAGAGAGAGTGTGCATTCCAATCTTAGTTAAATGGAATTTTCCACATGTAGGAGGTAGTATGCATAAGTGGAACTCTCAGTCTGGTTTTGGATGCTCATAATCCGATTGTGTCAGACACTCAGCTGATCCAATTTAAAAAAAATCTTCCCTTTGTTCCCTTTTGGGGTTTTGGCGCATTAAAGGTTCTGCTTTCTTCCCATTCGATCACTGTAAATAAACCTCAAGTGATTAACCCTTTGGGGTCCAGAATGAAAAACACAATTTAAATGGGAACACTGTCACTATAAAAATCCCTTTGGTATCTTAATTTGTCATGAAATTTACAATACACTGAACTTAAAATAAACTTTCCAGGCAGGGCGAAACCTTGGGCAAGTTTCCTTACTCCACACGCCTAATAATAATCCCTCCAAAGCCAAAAACAATAATAAATTGGTCATTTTCAATCTACGACTGTTTGTGGGACATTGCTGTGCGCAATTGGCTGCCGCGTTCGCCCACAAATATACAGTCAATTCACTTTACAGTGTGTTCTGTGAAGCGCTTTGGGACGTCCTCCTGACGTGAAAAGCGCTATATCAAATGCAAGGATTATTATTATTATTATTATAAAATCAAATTTTAAGGATATAAAACAGCAGTGTTGCACGTTATAAAATCTGATTTCAAAAGTGAATTGAATTGGATATATACTTGAAAATGAAAAAAAAACTGCAAGACTATGGAGAAAGACTGGGAGAGTGGGACTAATTGGAAGCTCTTTCAAAGAGTCGGCACAAGTACGATGGGCTGAATGCCCTCCTTCTGTGCTGTAGGATTCTATGATTTTAAGTGCTTTGAGACTCCTTGATAAGGCACTATTTCAAATGCAAGGATTTTTATTATTATCATTATCTTGTGAAGGAGATACGGGCATGCTCCATTCAAAGCACTTATAGTTCTCTGTGTAGTTTCATTCCCCGAACACCCACCCCCTAAAACACACACACACACACATCATAATACACACACAAACAACACACCTAGTGCGTTGATAGCAACTCAAATTCAGTCATTGAGGAACGGCAAATTCTGACCTATGTGCTGCCTTTTAATTTAGACTGGCCTTTGACCTCTGCCAGCTTTAATTCATATGTGGTTTTGTTAAAGCACAAGTTCCACGTGGCCTTGTTTGAGTGGAGAAACATGTCATTTAGCCCAGCAAACCTGCACTAGTGTTTTTAATCTTCTATCCCATATCTGCACCATGACCCGCTCTGCCATCCCCCACCTCCGCAACGTCGCCCGGCTCTGACACTGTCTCAAACTGCAGGCCGCCTAAACCCTCATACACGTCTTCATTACATCAAGGCTCAACTAACAAATTCACTGCTTGTCGGCCTCCCCAACTCCTCCCTCCACAGGCTGCAGATTATCCAGAACTCTGCAGCCCGTGTCCTCTCCCGCACTAGGTTCCGTGACCCTATCACCCCCATCCTGGCTTTCCATCACACAGAGGATACAGTTCAAGATCCTGGTCCTCACGTTCAAAGCCCTCCACAATCTTATTCGCTCCTACCTCTGCAACCTTCTAACCCCCTACCACCCTGTTCGTTCCCTTTGCTCAGCGGGCTCCGGCCTGCTTCATGTCCCCCACCTTGCTCGCCCCACTATCGGTGGGGGGACCTTCCACCACTCTGCACCCACCCTCTAGATCTCCATCCTGCAGTCCCTCTGTCTCGCCCCCTCCCTCGCCACCTTCAAGACCCACCTCAAGACCCTCCTCTTTGACCGTGCTTTCAATCACCCTGCTTCCCCCCCTGCCCTCCACTCGCCCCAACCCCGACCCTCAGCTCGCATCCGTAACTCTGTCTGTCCAGCGCTTTGGAACGTCCTCCTGACATGAAAGGCACTACACAAGTGTAATTTTGTTGTTGTTGTTAATCTTCAATTTCCTGCTCACTCTCCGTATCTTTTAAACAGTACAACTCTTCCAGTAGCTGTGTAATTCCTTTTTAAAAGAATTGATGGATTCCACATTCCAGCCACCTCCTGTGTAAAGAAATACTTTCTGATCTCCCCTTTAATTCCTCCCATGATCATTTCCACCATCTCATTACTCACTGATGGAAATAATCGGTTACTCTTTACCACATCCTAACCTTACACAATCCTGAAGACCTCTATCAGACCCCTTAACCTTCTGAGCTCCAGCGGAAAGATCCCAACCTCTCACCATAACTGAAAACCCTCATCCCTGGTAGCCTCCAGGTGAACTTACGCTGCAAATTTCATTGCTTTTAAATCCTTCCTATAATGAGATGCCTGAAACTGGACACTCCCAATTATGTCTTAACTAAGGCCTTGCACATGCCTATTGTGGAGGTGTTATTTCCACCCCCCAAGCTGCCGGCTGGGCGGGGAGAAGGTGGGGTGAGGGGGAAAAGTCAATCAGGCGATAGAATGTAGTGCTTAGAGTAAATAATGAGAAGCAAGGAGAGAGAAGGACTCCATTAAAACATGCACTTTTGTGACTCTGTTCTGGGCGGAGAGAGCCCGAGGTGCCTCATCCTAATGGTTGTTCTCCTTGCTTATTTCAGCTCTGTGCCTTTTCCCTGAGTCCTAAACTGAGAGTAGACTTACCATCCTGCAGCACATCTCAAAACACGCAAAGCTCTTGTCACATTTTAA